TAAACGCAAAAATGTCCTCAGGTGAGGATAAAAAAATAATAATTTTTTTTAACCCTATTCCTATATTCTTTTCACTGACCAATACTTGTCATTGTTAGCCTGGATATATTTAGTAATCCAAATCTCAGAGTCATTGTTGAACCTCTCGGTTAGACAGAGAGTCAAACTTCTCTAGAAAAGCTTTTGTTTCAACTTTCAACTACTTTGCATTAAAATTAACTTGGATACATGAAAAAGTGAGTTTTTTTCCCATCCTTCTTTTGTTTATTCCTTTCAGCACTATTTTATTACCATGTAGCAAAAGGGTAAATTATATAGTAGTGGTGACCCTGGTGCAATAGACTTCTGCAAATATGGTGAGTTGTGTACAGCATATTGGCTGTACTTGTACACCTCGGCCTCTGATGCTCTCATCACACTGGTGATTCATAGTTGGAAACAGCACAGCAGTTCAGTTACTGTAACAGAAGAAACCAGTAACTATAAAATTTCAGCACTGATATTGCGAGTGACCTAGAAGTAATCTCAAGGACAGGGTCTATACTGCAGACCCTTTGTTAGCCCTGTACCTAACATCAAACCTCGGACATGATCAAAAAATAAATGTGTTTATTTTGAAAATAATTGATGAAGCTAAATGAACACTATATTGTGTGCAGAGTTCCAAGAAAGACTGATGTAATTAGTACAAATTAATTTAGACCTGTAGTTTAACTCTACACAAAGAATTTATTTATTTATAAAGATAACCTAATTGTAAAAGATACCTAAATGATAAACTATCATTTTTGGTAATCTACTAAATTGGGTAATTCTTAATAAAAGATGCAGATTTAAGAAGCTGTAAAATGTGGTTATTGTACTGCCCATTCTTCCATGGTGTGATACACAAACACTCTGGGAATATAATGAGGCCAAGAGGGTGTGTGTGGACCATCATTTCATCTAGGATCACTCCGATAATCACTGGAGAAACCTAAAGGATTTGCCTATTCAGCTTTGTAAGAAATGTTCACTAAAATTTCACTCAGCTTAGCTTCTCTCTTTCATTGAGAATTCTGGGCATATTATTATTCTCTGAGCTGTGAGTGACACAGTTAAACACCACAGGGCAGACAAACTGTAGCCAGGGAGTTCTTGTCTTACTCTGTCCTTATCTTGCTATGTGATTCTTCAGGAACTGCTTAACTTGAGTTAACTCTTTTAGCTCCTTTACCTGAAATGGGAAGTGAAGATATTTACTCAAATCCTGATAGACATAAAACACACTCTTCCCCCTCCTTTTATCAAACAAGGCTTCCCTTATTCCCCTGAGCTAATGAATAGGGATCATTTACCACTGTTCACTCCGGGTATTCTCAGAGGGCCTTATAATTGTCTTCAGTCCACTGAAGTACTCCCGAGACTCTTTCTTGTAACCTAATGGTACCTCAATTACCCGTATCACTTTCTGAAATTTCCTTAAAATCAGGATAGTCACTGCCTGATTTTCACCACAGGAATCTAGAGTAACAGTTAACCATTGTACAAAGTCACAGCATAAGACATAATAAATCCTCAGGAAAAGTGCACTTCTTAGACACAGAATAAACATTTGGTTTCTAGACTGAGTCCTACATCAGTGTGAAATCACTCTCTTCATTAGCAATTTAGGACTTAATTAAATCACTGTACAGCTTCTTTATCTACATATACAAAACACATATTTCTACTTATCTAATTGGATTATCTATCAGTGAATTGAGGTTATACTGTTCAGCCCTTAGGGGATGGATTAATAATTTCACATTCTCATATGTTAATTATTAAAATTTAGAGGATTATTAAAAAGCTAGTAAAGACAAGTTTGCAAGTAAGTGAAAATAAAAAGTTTGGTGATGGTTATGGTTCCAAAACTTCTTATCAACATCTGTATTATTTATGTCTAGCTTCAGGAGGAAGAAACTAGTTGGAGAAATGTGTTTCTTTTATACTCAGTGGAGAGAGAAAAGCTGGAGCTCCTCAGATGAGAGAAGTGGCCTTCTTTCCTGTTGCAGAACTTCCCCAAAGCAAACGGGGTCCGGTGCCATCGTTGTCCTCCCTGGAGAAGTATTTCTCTATCTGGGAAGGAACATCCTGAAATTTCCCATCCAATCAGACTCCTTGCTGGGCATGTGGGTAGCAGAAGCAATATCCTCTGCCAAGTAAAGCATCAAAGTGCTAACCGAACTTCTTCCATGTGTTCAAGGGCTTTCCCAAAACTCTTTCACATTTCAAAATGAGTCAGCAGATCCTAAACTCATTTTCCTCCTTTGAACACATGGAAATGCTGAACGTGAATTATCTACTTACTGAGATTGGAATGAGGAACAAAAAGGCACTGACTTCTTAATTCAATATGATTATGACTTGTCAGAAAATGAAAACATTTTTGATAATTAAGTATTCTGCAGCAGCTACTGCTAACAAACAACAAGAATATACATTATGCTACTCAAATTCGAATTTTTTAATATCCAAAAACTTCAGAGATATTTCTCGAGGAGAAAATCCCACAGGAAATGGCATTTTGATAGAAAAGGAGAAGGGGGGAACATTCCCTACGTTACCCTTAAGGGAAAATGTTTTATTTGTGGTAAACACAAAGCAGTGCTGAAATATGACATTCTCATGCAACACGGTTTCAGGATTTCCACTTTTAAATAACATTCTTTGAGTAGTTTATTGAAGGAACTTGGTACAAAAAAGAATACGGGTAGCCCATCAACAAATTAAGCTGAACTTGCATTTAATTTTCTGAGAAATAAAATGTTAACCAAACCCATTTCGTTATGATTCGTGACTTACATTTTTAATATAAACTCCAGGGCTAATTTTAAAAGCCTAGAAAGATAAAATAAGAGTTGAGGCCCAGCAATTGTTGAATTCTGAGCAATGTCCTGAGAATGTGCATTTTTCTTTTCTGCCCAACTCTGAGCTCTGTTTGCCCAGTTATGGGAAACGCACCCACTGAAGAATTTTTCATTCATTCAATAAGTATTTATTAAGAACCCACTATATCAGGCAGTGGGGATACACCCCTAATCAAGAGAGATGTGGTCTATGCCTTTAAGAAGCTCACAGTCTAGCAGATGAGGCAAATATGAAGTACAAAAAGGATGTCAAACTGTACCAGTATTCTTGAGAAACAAGTTAAGGCATTAAACAACTGCTCCCAGCATTCCTAACCAAATGCAAGCTCAGGACAAATTCTTAACTGAGAGTTAACTAAACAAGACACAGTTCTATCTCATTTTTTTCTGTTTGTGCTTTAGCTAAAATACCTGATGGGAAATAAAATAATCCATAACAGGATTATTATTCTTGTTGTATCATTTATATGTATGGAACTATTTATCAATTTTTAAAATCAAAATCCTAACTTTTTATGTTTGCAACCTGACCGTTATTTTTGTCACATCTAAATGGGATATTCTATTAAATTGATATTCAAAAAGTGTTGCTTTGTGGTAGATCCGGTTTATGTTGTTTCCCATAAACTTGAATTAATTAATTTAATAAAGACAGAAAAATTTGCAGATTTTTATTTTTACACATTTTAAAAAAATATTTTTTATTGATATTTTTAGAGCAAGATAGAAACATCGATGTGAGAGAGAAACATCGATCGGCTGCCTCCTGCATGAACCCTACTGGGGATGGAGCCCGAAACCCAGGCATGTGCCCTGACCAGGAATCGAACCAGGAATTGAACCAAGACAACTCAGTCCATGAGGCAATGCTCAATCCACTGAGCCACACTGGCCAGGCTATTTTTATACATTTTAAAATTAAATTTTACAAAATATAATAATACCTACCCAGTACTAATGCCTGCTATAAACTAAGTGGCTTTTTTTTTTTTTTTTTACATAATTATTTGTAAACCCAAAATCAACTTCCCCCTTATAACCCTGCCAGTACTTTTAGTCCTATTTTACACCTGAGGAAACTGAGGTGCCAAGAAGTTAACAGAGTTTCCCAGCACCACATAGATAGTTAGTGTAAAGCCAGGAATGAACCGTCTGATTATCTGGTTAATTTATTCTCTTAAGTATCCTAAATTGGGCACAGAGTTCTCACCCTCCAGGCTACATCCAGTAGAATTAGTCGTTGTGCAACATTAGAATGCTGTTATAATAACGCAGTTAAAGCTTTCAAGCAACCAGAGTCCAATAAAACACCTAGGGTGCAATAAAACATCTGATTAACTAGTGAAATGAAATGTGAAATAACTTCTCAGGTAAGTGGCAAGTAAATGGAGGGTGTCTAACTATGAAGTCTGCTAAGATGAGTACACCACAACAAGCATTGGGACCAGTAACCTCCAAGCCTGGCTGTCCGAAAAAGGGGAAAATATCTCACACGAAGTGGAGTTGGCCTGGAAACTCATAAAGAAATGCTGGTTTGGAGAGAGCTTGGTTTTGTTTCCTGTAGTTCTATCTTCAATGGAGCTGGGCTGCAGCAGTCCCACCTGCTCATGGAGGGATGGCCCACATTCTGGGTAGAGGTTAGCACACATGATCAGATAAAGTTCAATCACTACCACCATCACTGCAAAAATCATCAGGTGGCCCCAATAAAACATGGAGAGCTTGATCAGTGAATAGTAATGTAAACTTGAAAGTCTAAAATGAAATGCATATGGATCAAATTGCTCTGCACTAACTTCCTAAAAGCTCTTCTCAGTTGGATACCCAAGTGAACAACCCCAGCTGACAGCACCCAGAAAGCTTCCACAGGAAATTAGATTGTAAACGATGCTGAGATCCACCCCGAGGCTAAGTTTCTAAGGTCTCCAGGGCATTTAGAGACCGTCTTTCCCCCTCCTGTACAGCGGCTCCACGACACAAAAAATTTGTAAAACTGTTCGCTGGGCAGTAGTTCGGTTGGGGGCAGCCTGCTCGCGATGCAATGCCCTATTGGTTTCTGAACACGCATATGATTAATATTGGTACTCAAGAAAGAGAACTTCTTCTGACCTTGAGCGTGCGCGCTAAATAAATTACCTCAGAACGAAAGTGGTGAGATCTCATAACAGCATCTGGAGAGAAAAGAGAAAAAACGAGAGTTTATTTAATTCCTTGTTCTTCACCCGCCGAATAACTGATCACTTACCTGGGGGGTGAGGGGTCGGGAAGGCACATTCTAAACGCCTCGAATTCAGTAGGGACATTCTATAGGGCGGGGAGGTTACTAGGCCATCGGTCTCTGGCAGGTTTCAACACGAGAAGTTTCAGGGAAAGTTCTGGGGGAGTTGGGGAGCCCAGAACTCTCCATGAAGAAAGCTACGGATGGGCGAAGAGAGGTTGCCGCAGCCCCGGACTCCGCTTCCGTTACCCTTAGGGGCTTTAGCAAACTGACGCTAAAAATTTGCGTCCGTGCCTCTCCTCCCAGCTCTCAGCATCGCTGTGTTTATCCCAACCCGGGAGATTGGAGGAAGGGGGTGGGGGGTGAGGGCAAATAGGGCGAGGGACGTTCAATCCTTAAGGTACTCGGCTTGGGGAATGGGCAATGATGGAGATAGGGGCAGAAGCGCAAAGGGGAGCGAGCCGCGCTTCACTCTCCAAATCGGTGTAAATGTTCCTCCTAGCTCGAAGAAGCCCGTGGCAGCGTGTCTTACCTCGGCTCCTCGGACGACCCGAAAAGACCGATTTCATCGGATGCCTCCCTTTCTGGAGCTTGCGATGCCAGCAGCAAAAGAAGACGATGGTGGCGATGGTGCCTAGCAGAAGCAACAAGAGGAAGAGGGCACATTGGATGCTGTAGGGTCTCAGCAGGACGAGGAAAGCCGCGGCGATCATGGTGCGGGCGAGGCGAGGGCAGCTCGGCGGCGGGGCTGGAGGGCGGCGGCACAGGCACCCGCGCGGGGCGCACACCAGAGCGGCGGGCACGGGCGAGCGCGGATCAGCGCGTCATGCCCGGCGCACGCAGCCCCGCGCCCAGCCCAATGGCTGCGCACCCCGCGCCAGCCGCGCTAAGCGAGTGATCCAGGGCTGCGGGGAGCGCTTGCCATGACTCAGCAGACGGCGACCAGGCAGGGACTTGGCGGCGGAGAGCCTCTCTCCTCCCTCCTCAGGCGCCTCCGCCCCCGTCCATGCGCAGCCCCCGGGCGCAGCCCCGCGGGGGACGCGGCGGGCGGGGAGAAGCAGCGCTGCCGCCCTGGCCACCTGGGCCCTGTGCATCGTCTTACGGCCGCCGCCAGCCTCGGCATCCCGAAGACCGGCGCACGTGGGTCGGGGCGGGGACGCGGCGCCCAGGCTGCAGCGGCGGCCGCCCGCGGGGGGCGGGAATGGGGCGCCGCGGCGGGGGCTCGCCTGATGACATCACAGCCGAGCTGCGGTAGCGCGGGCGCGCGGACATGGCTGCGGCGGCGGCGGCCGCGGGCTGCGCTCGGGCCTGAGCGCCCAGCGCCCTCCTGCGGGGCCGCCGGCCAGTCCGCGCCGTCTGACTGTGCAACAGACGGGTGCCTCTAGGCTCCCCGAAGCTTGGGGCTTCCACCTATCCAGCCTCCCTTGGCCGAACTGCTGGGGAGTCCGGAGTCAGGGGGCGCCAAGCAGCCAGGGGGGAACAGTAAGGAGCTGAGGGGAGCCTCCAGGCGGTGCTACCCCCAACCTCCCACCTCCCCACGCCCCGCCCCGATGTTGGGGCTTTGGAAGATGCAGCCGGGTGAGCTATCGCTTGCGGGGGAGGGGGGGAGGGGGGAATGTTCCTCGCTCGCTGAAGCTTGAACATAGCGAAGGGCCTTCCCTGGGAATTGGGGTCCTCAGGAACGGGAGGCTCACCGGTCTCCGACCCCCTCTAACTGGGAGCATTCCCCAGTAGAACACTCGGGTCTGCAGACGTAAACTGTTCCACCTCCAAACTTGGTGCAATTTCGCAGCCAAGAAATGGGCACTTTGGAACCTCTTGTATCTATGCGTTTACTGTAAAATCTGACTCATTTAGTGCATTTGCAAGGGAGGGGCAATTTCAGATTTAGAGAACTGGTAGACGAAGGAAGTTGGGATTGGCTGGTAAATATCTGGAGGAGAAATTTTTTAGGGAATGTGAGGAAATAATGACCTGTCACGGAAAATGCACTCACTACCTCTCCTCTCCCTCTTGCCCCCTCCCATTTCTTCATAACCAGCAAAAAGTATACTATAGTTGATGACTGGGAGATTTTATTCAGTGGTCGCTGGTACAGTGCCAACGCAGAAGGTATGGCGGGTGTGCTGCACTGCGCCTTTCTGTGGACGGCCACGGCCACCTGGCCAGGAAGCCATCGCTGCTGCCGCAGTCTGCAGCATCTTGCTGCCTTGGCCCGAAGGCCAGGTGCGGTATCCGCGCGCGTTTTGCTGCTTCCAAGGCAATGCTGTCTGGAGCTGGGGTTTTTGTTTGTTTGTTTGTTTTTTCTTTTGTTTTATTTACTCTTATAAGGAAACTGCAATTAGAATGGCAAAGTAGCACATGACTGCATTTGTGGTGTTTCTAATAACTACTAAGGTGGACTCTTCGGAATATTGAAGAGACTGAAGAAGTTGTGTCACAAAGTAGTTTGTAAAATTCTGAAAAGAAAAGAATCCATGACAATACTTAAGTGTTGTTATTTGCTTGAAGGATCTCAATATCGGTGTTGTTTACTAATGATACAAACTTAACTGTACATCTCTGCATAAAAGAAAAAAGATTTTTTAAGTTAAAAAAAAAAAGCTTAACCAGTGATGTTCTTAAGACCTTTAACATATTACCATGTGTAAGCATTAAAGGAAACTAAAAAAGGCACTGCCTAATGCATTTCTTAAATGCCAGGTTCATAAACGTGGGAAACAATGAATTAAGTTTCCAAAAACAAAATAAACATTCAAGTTGTTGACATGCTACATCTCACTCAGTTGAGGGTTGAAGATGGAAGGACCTTGCTTGTACATGCTGTATAAGGTGGGAATGTTGAATGTCAGAGTGTAGGCTGCTCTGCAAGCAAGGAGAGGTTTCATAGGTCCCTGGCACTCCAGGTGACAGGTAGCACTGCATTATGTGCACTTTGCTTAAGTTTCCTGATACTGCAGCCCACTGCAGTGAGACTGTATTCCAGCCCATTGTGCAGCGGTTGTTGAAGAGAATCCTGAGAGCCTGCAATGTATGGCACATCAGGAAAGGAAGAATTATTTACCCCATTGACTCATAGTGGCCTAGTGGAGTAATTTAAAACAACAAAAAAAACGGAACTAACCTTCTGCAAACATTGGGAGAAATAACTAAGAATTTAGGACGGTCATCTTTACTTTACACTTCTCATTAACTGCAATTTGTGAGTGAGCTGAAATGGCCTAAATATCCTTGAAACATGTCTTAGACCACAGAATAGTAACCAATTTGCCCTAGACTCTGCACTTTTAACAACAAAAAGCAACTAAATAGCCATTATGGTTTTCTGAGCTATTGCTTTAGCACAATTGTTATCATCCTGAGTCTTGCTGCAGCCATTTATAAGTTTCAAGTGCACACAAGAACATCATTTATCTCTTTTGGCAGGCAAATGCTTAACTGCCATGCAGTAGGACTATAGACATTTCTTTTTAGATGCATTCATTTCTGTTCTTTCTATTAGTTATCTCAAAGACACTAAAAATAAGCAAACAAAATCATTGAAAGAATTTAGTGTTTAGGTTCTGTTTTTATTTTCTGATTTGTTTGTTGCTAATTTATCTTTTTCTTCTCCAAATAATGGTATGTTATTAATTGCTTCTTTCTGTGTTTCTGTGATGCCTAAAGCATTGTGGGATTCAATAAATATTAAATCAGCTAATCAATCCTTTTTGGAAGTTAATTTATTAGAATTCATACCTTTTCTTTCTGCTAGGTTTTCATTTTAAAAGAATAATTGAGCCCTGGCCGGTTTGGCTCAGCGGTTAGAGCATAGGCCTGCAGTCCAGAGAGACCCGGGTTCGGTTCCCGCTAAGGGCACATACCTTGGTTGCGGTTTGTCCCCAGCCCTGGTTGGGTTGTGCGGGTGACAACCACTCGATGTGTCCCTTTCACATCGATGTTTCTCTGTCTCTCTATCTTTCTCTCTCTCCCCCTCCCACTCTACCTGAACAAAAAAAAAAAAAAAAAAAAGGAAAAATGTCCTCAGGTGAGGATAAAAAATAAAAAATAAATAAATAAATGAAAGAATAATTGACATTGTATTAAAGTCACAAAAATTTTAAGTTTGGGGGCAGGGATGGAGGAGAAGGCTGTTAACCAATCTTTCATCCCAAGAAATAAAAACTCAAAATAGAAAAGTATACATAATTTTTTTTACATTTTATGATAGTGAATTAGCACTGTCACCCAAGGGAAGACAGTGACTTGGGGGAAATAGTTAAGAGAGTTTATACCAACTATGTAGAAGGTGATCAATCATGCAGCCCTTCTTCCCTTTGCATTCTCAACCAAACTGAGAACACACACAAGGAACCAAAAGGAAATTAAAACATTAACTTTATCGAGGGTAAAGTCAGATTAAAGAACATGGCTCAGACTCAAGGCCAAAATGGAGCATTATATTCCTTTTCCCCTGACTCAACATGCCCCTCCCCCTCAGTCAGAGATGAAGAACTGTAGTTGACCCTTTAACAACACAGATTTGAACTTTGAGGGTCCAGTTATATGTGGAATTTTAAAAAATAAATGCTGTAAATGTATTTTATCTTTCTTATGATTTTCTTAATAACATTTTCATTTCTTTCGCTTACTTTACTATAAGAATATAGTATATAACATACAAAATATGAGTTAATAGACTGTTTATGTTATTGGCAAGGCTTCCAGTCAACAGGCTATTAGCACCTAGGTTTTGGGGGGGTTCAAAAGTTATACACAGATTTTCAACTGCACAGGGGAGTCGATGCCCTTAAACCCCATGTTATTCAAGGGTCAACTGTATAGTGTTTCCCAGTGTTACCTGGAGACAAGAGGCTAAAAAGAGCCTGGCATCTCCAGTCCACAAGGCCTTCTTCATGATGAGCAAGAGACAGGACCATGTGTGAGACAGGACCTGTTGTGCATCAGCCCTGCCTATTAGTAGCTCACAGGCCTTCTTTAATTTCCCTCAGCACAGAGTCATTCCACCTCCCAAAGATAAGAGTATGGGGCTATAATTAGATGGCAGAAATATCTGCTGGACTTCCCTAGAAGTAGGAGATTGTGGCACAAATACCTAAGTTATGGGTCAGGAAGAAGAAATGTTTCTTCTGAGCTGTGTGATGACCTAGTGAGAAAGAGGGAGGAATTATAGATGACAAGTTTTGAGCTAGGGTGGAGGAAGAGTTTTGAAGGCGAAGATGACAAACCGAGTGTTAGACCCTCTGAGGCGGAGGTGTCAGAAGGACATCCATGTGAAATTATCCAGCAAGCTCATGTGGGTGGAGAGGTCCAAACCCGAGACAGAAGTCATCAACGGAAATTATAGTTGAAGTCATGGAAATGGACGGAATGACTAAGAAGGAGAAACCGGAAAGAATTGGAATCAGAACTTTGGAGACGGCTTCCATTTCTGGGCTGGAGAAGGAGAGCAGAAGGCAAGACCGTGGAGTCCAAGAGGGCAGTGTTCCAATTTCGTGGCTAACTAGAAGAGTTGCACAAATGGGAGTTTAAGGAGGATGCGGACTGCAGACTGGTGACTAGGAGACCTCTGGAAACCTTCCAGAGAACTGAGTCATTGTAGTGGGAAAGGCTAAAACCAGACTAATGGGCAGAAGATGGGAAGGTTGGTGAAACAGAGGAGAGCTGCTGTCCTTAACCTTTGGAGAAATTTAACTCTAAAAGGAATGAGTAGAAATGCAATTAAAGCCTGGATGAAGGCTAATTAAAGTCCCTTTGTCAGACGAGTACCTGAACAAGTTTCCAGCGGGATGGAACCAGTAGTAGGAGAAAAATTGAGAGGTAAAGAGAGGGGAGAAGAAGGCATTCTCCTGGCCATTTGTGGTTTAGCTATTTGTTTTTAACATGCCTTGAGTCCTCCGAATGGCTTCTTTCTACTTTCAGGCTACTTTTGACTCTGCAGAGTTAAAATTGACCCTGACTAGTTCTGATGGGTCCCTGCCCATGGTGTCCTCCCCACTTGCCCTGGCTACTAATAGTCAGACTAGAAGAATGATTTTGAGGGAAAGATAAGGAACACCTTGGAATGCAGTCCAGCATTGTCTGTAAGCTTTTATTACAAACCTATGTGGAAGTGAGTAAATTAACCAACTGGTAATCACAGAAGGACATTACATTGAAATATTACCTCCTTGAAAACAAAGTTTATGTACAAATGGCTCTAGCAATAAATTATTAGAAAAAAATCATATTGATTTGGAGCTGGTAATCTACTTGTTCCTAGGTGAATTTTTTTGCTCTCAGAATTAAGAGTTGAAGGAAATTGAGAGGAATCTGAGGAAATGTGTTGTATGGCCTTTTTACTTCCAAATATTTTTTCATGACATGTGCCAACAATATACATGTTCTTGTGTTGAAAGGTAAAGGAACTACATCATTTGGAAGAAGCTATATCATCTAATGTAACCTTGGAGGCGATTTTCAACCACCAGAATCAGGGGAGCCATCATGTGGATGGATCATTATTATCTTTTTTAAATTTGTGTTTTTGAAGGAAAAACAATTATTATTTGTAGTAATAGCAAATATTTTTTTCAGCA